CTCAGTGTTTACATACACATGGTAGTAACTTACTACGGGCAAAAAGGTTAATCTATATCCACCTTCTTTTTTAAAGGATGGGGGAGCTTCTCATTAAGGTTTAAAGGCCCACTAATTTTAAGCACCACTGCCCACAAGGGGTCCTGGCCGCCCCTCCATTCTATCACATTAGCTCAACAGGTATGAGATGCAGAACTTTATCCGCCATTCAAGAGATAAGAAGAGCCAGTTCCTTTGGAAGTTTGCAGAAGGGGTACAATTAGCTTTTCACTTAGTCTTGCAATACAGTCTGCTCTGATGAGCTTCTCTCATGCTGGGACTTTTAATATTACTGTGTGGTTTCAGTGGCAAACCACCTCTGTTTCTCACTTGCCTTGAAAGCCCCGTGCTGGGGTCATTATAAGCCAGTTGCAACTTAATGGTACATACGTATCTACATATTGTGTAGTTATATTAGGACCACTGAATGTATGATTCATCAGTAGCGATGTTTTAAGATTTGTATTTTTATTTTATTTTATTTATTTATTGAGATTTATACCCCACCCTCCCCACAGAGCGGGCTCAGGGTGGCTTACAAGGGGCAAAGCCCATATAAAACAGATAAAAGCAATAAAAACATTAATAACAATTGTACTCAATTAGACAAGATGGTCCGGAATACATGCCAGATGGTAGGCAGACAATTCTCCAGGGATGATGTTATCCTATTGCCTATCCCAACCAGGTAAATCCAGTGGTATCAGTCACGCAGAAACAGTGGCAGATCTTCCCGGGCCATCCTTAACCCCGATGTTATCCACTGCATTAGTGGCGGTGGTAGTGGTGGCCCCTATGTGAAAGCCTGGCGGAAGAGCTCCGTCTTACAGGCCCTGTGGAACTGTATAACCATCTTGATTTTAAGAAAGACAATACGTAAATAGGTAAACAAGTACATGTAAAATGTGTGCATAAGTGCCATCAAGTTGCTTCTGACTTATGGCAATTCTATGAATTAATGACCTCCAAAACATCCTGTCATTAATAGCCTTGTTCAGGTCTTGCAAACTGAGGGCCCTTGTGGCTTCCTTGACTGAGTCCATCCATCTCAAGTTGGGTCTTCCTTTTTTCCTAGCATTATTGTCTTTTCCAGTGACTCTTGCCTTCTCATAGTGTAAAATGCATCACCTCAAAGCAGTCAAAACAACAACGGTTCTTGTGGCCCTTTAAAAACTTACACATTTGACTGCAGACAGAGGACCCGGTCACACGAGTGAGATAATCTGGGGGGGGAAGTGAGGCTTTTTGCTCCAGAGCAAAATCACAATCCAACATTCCCCCCGAGGCTCCGTGCTCAGGCCGTCCCCGCCGATCACGTGGTGATGGCAAAGCGTGGCAACGAAGCAGTACTGCCTTTGTGCGCATGCGCGTTTGTGCGCATACCACGGAGGCTTACAAGAAAACATCCGGTGGGATGCGGACGGGGCCCGGATGCAATGGGATACCAGCGCTTCCGTGATCAGGCGCCCGCTCGCGCCCTGTGTTTTCCGGATAATACTACACTTTCCCAGCTACTTTTTAACTCCACATCTTCAGCCGGACGCTACAGGTTGGAGACAGGCCCACGACGCTTGCCAGATGTTGCTGTATGATCGTGCCCTTTTAATCTGCCCGGCAGTCGTGCCTCTCGTGCTGCAAATTCTCCGTGTGACCGGGACCAGAGTCAACTTAATCGGAGCATGAAGTGTTACATTCACAGGCCATGTGTATACTCACAGTCGCAGCAGAGGGGAGATGTGAAAGACCTGCCAGAAGGCCCTGCAGTGTAAGAGGCAGGTGTGTTACTTAACTTGCAAAGGACTAGAGGGACAATTACTTTGTGAGATAGTTGCTCCCAGTCCCTATTGAGACCAGTTTTGATAGTGCGAGCTCTGCATCGCTGTTCAAGCGTACCAATACAGAGATATATTTCAATGGTATTTATTGTGGTTCTTTTCTTTCTCCTGTGTTCCAATAGTAACCATTTTTCAGGGCAGATCCTTGGGTTGCCAACTCCAGGTTGGGTGGGGCATTGCTGGAGATTTAGGGGTGGAGGAGACTGGGAAGGGTGGGGTTTGGGGAGGGGAGGGATCTTAGCTGGGTATAATGCCATCATAGAGCCCACCCTCCAAAGCAGCCATTTGCTCCAAAAGAACTGATCTGGGTCATCTGGAGATGAGCTGTAATTCCAGGGGATCTCCAGGCCTAGGACTGCCAACCTCTAGATGGCGGCTGGAGATCTCCCGCTATTACAGCTGATCTCCAGGTCACGGAGATCAGTTCACTTGGAGAAAATGGCCACTTTGGAAGGTGGACGCTATGGCATTATAGCTAGGGTTGCCAGACTCCAGGTGGGGCCTGGGGATCTCCTGCTTTTAAAACTGATCTCCATCTGACAGAGGTCAGCTCCCCTGGAGAAAATGGCTGCTTTGAAGGGTGGACTCTATGGCCTTGTACCCTGCCGAGGCCCCTCCCCTCCCCAAAACCTGCCCTCTCCTGGATCCACCCCCAAAGTCTCCAGGTATTTTCCAACCCAGACCTGGCAACCCTAATTATAGCCCACCGAAGTCCCTCCCTTCCCCAAACCCTGCCCTCCCCAGGCTCCACCCCAAAATCTCCAGGTATTTCCCAACCCGGAGCTGGCAACCCTATCCAGGACCCACCTGGAGGCTGGCAGCCATGACAGTCACTTACGTGTCTTGTTTTTAAACGAAGGGATTTGTGCCTTTGAAATGCCTACTATGCACATAGATAGACCCCCGCACTGAAATGTCTGTAGCCGCTCAGAAGCAGAAAGAAAGGCGGTGATCCGGAAGCGCGCGCACGTGATTCGAAACCCGGACCCTCCTCCTCGGCTGACTGGTTCCTTGCTTGGGCCGGTCGTGGGGACGACGTTTCAATGTGCAGCGAGGTGTGGGGTGGCAATTTCCCTCGGCACTGATTCCCGCAGAGCATCGCGCCCTCCCCCGCTACTGACGCTGGTTCGTGAGACAGGGAAATTTACACTCTGCACATGCTCAGACGCGACCTGGCCCGCCGCTGACTGTGTTTCAGACGTGGTCTGAAGCCGGCGGCGGCAAGAGGAGCCCGAGGAAGACCGGGCGTCGCTGGCTGCGGGTCCTGGCCGCCTTTGTGGGAGGGGCGAGGGATCCCCCCCCCGCCCTCCAGCGTGTTCCCGCGGCTGCATTCGGCCTGTGGCGAAGAGGGATCGAAGCCACCTGGGGACGGGCGGGGGACCGGGGGGGGGGGTTCTTCTGTCGCCGGATCGGACAGCCCCCTCTCCCTCCCTCCCTCCCTCCCTCCCACCTGCCCGTGGGGGGGATCTTCCCCCTTCTCCGCCCCCGACTCGCGTCCTGACAGCTCTCCGAAAGCGATGCGCCTTTACGCTTAGACGGGGAGAGGAGGAGGGGGAGGGCGGAAGATCTCGGGAGCGCCCCCGCTTGCCCTGCCCGCCGAAGTGGCCCGGCCGGGGTGCAGAAGGCGACCGAGGTAGGCGGGTTGGGCCCCTCCCGGGAAGGGAAGCCGGAGCTCCTCCATCCCTCCCTCCCTCCCTCCCTCCCCTCCTTCACCTGCTCGGCCGCGATCCCGGTGAGCCGGCGAGGGAGGAGGCAGACTCGGGGGGGGGGCCTCTTGGGGTGCGCATCCTCGTCTCCCTCCACAAGCGAAGATGCCCCAAAGCGAGGTTGGTTCTGGGGGAGGGGGCAGTGGTTTCTCCTCTTTGTGCACAAAAATCAGCGGTGAGCCTTTTTGGGGAGGGGGTGGTGGTGAGACAGGCGGAGCGCGCCTGCTAGCAGCCAGGAGGTGTGGGGTGGCAATGGCTCCGGTGGCTCCTCATTTGCCCCTCTTCCCCGCTCCAGGCTTGCTTCCCTGCCCCTGCATCGATGGAGGACCAGACCGGACCAGGGCCAGGCTGCGCAAAAACCGGGGATGACAGAGCCTCCGTGGAGAGAAGGGAGGAGATCTCCAGAGCAAGCAGCATCCTCGCCAGTGTCTTGCCGCTCCCCGCGGCAGGCTGGAAAACAGTGGCCTTTTGACCTGGTTCTGTTGGCCTAGCCTTGCAGGAACATCCCCCACCCCACCCCGGCCACCAGTCCACCGGCCTGTGTGGTCTGCTGGAGCCGAGGAACCTGCCACAGATTGCTTGCCTGGGCAACCCTCATCCATCCTTTCCAAGGCCGTGGGAGCCCCCCCTCCCCAGAAGAGCTTGGCCAGTTGCTCCCCCCTCTGCATTGGGAATTCTGACACCTGCAGTTGAACCTTGTTTCCAGAGCCAGAGGCCAGGCTGTGGGGCTGCGGAGGTTTCTGTGCAAAGGGAATGGCGCTGTCTTGAAAGGCAGGCTAGGACTGATGGGTGCTGGAGGGGGGGAGATTTTTGGGGAGGCCTTGAATGAAATGAATGGGGCCTCCCCCTCCCTTTCCACTCAATCTGACAAGCAGGAGAGCTGAGAATTCCGCATGTTCCCTTTCTGCTCCCACCCGCCATTAGGACAATATCGGCACATCAGCAACAGGGCTCGGTTTTGTTTTTCCCTGGGAGAGCCCTACCTGGGACATGCCATGTCTGTTTGTTGGCATTGTAGATTTGGGGAGGGTAGCAAGTCCTTTTGCTCGGAACCTCAAAGTCCAAACGAGAACCGGGTGTGCCTCGAAAACCTGTTTCCGGCGTTTTAGTCTTAAAAGGCTGGTTGGTCCAGCAAATGCATCAACGCTTCCGGTCTCCGTTTCTCCCTGGGCGAGGCCGGTGGGGCTACTCGCCTCCTGAACTGATTGAGAAACCGTCTCTCTCCTCTGCTTTCCTCTGTCCATAAAGTTAGAATTTCCTTGTGGGGCTCAGGATGCCGGGAAGGGTCTGCCTCCTTTCCGAAACACCCTGAAAGGGGGAACGTTGCCCCGCGGGTGCTCTCGAGGTGATGGGGAGGACACCGGCCTGGTGACCCAGCCTGCCTTGACTCTTCCATGCCCAGTCGCCAGGAGCTGGCACCATGGCACGACACGGCACGGGGACGCTGGTCTTGGCCAACGGACTGGGCTTCCCACCCAATAATGTGGCCCGTGTGGTGGTGTGGGAGTGGCTGAATGAGCATGGACGCTGGCGGCCCTACACGGCTGCCGTCTGCCATCACATCGAGAATGTTCTGAAAGAGGATGCCCGCGGGAGCGTGGTTCTGGGGCAGGTGGATGCCCAGCTGTCTCCGTACATCATTGACCTGCAATCCATGCATCAGTTCCGACAGGACACAGGTAAGGAGAGGCAGGGCGCTTGCACTGCAGGGACGAAGAGGCAATGGCATGCCTGCTAGGCACGGATCTCGATTTATAGACCTGTTTGGGGTGTACATATGGGAGGGTACTTTGCTTGAATGCTCCCTCCGTTGGGGAAAAGATTCTAGCAGCACATAGAAAAGTAGGAAATTGTGAATCCTAGTCCCTGACATGCTAGATTTCTGCATGCAGGGAGAATCCTCCATGGGAATCATTCAGGACATTCTGTTCCCTCCTGGCACTCTGATGTAGTACGATCTTGGAGAATATCTTCTCAGAGGAATCTGCTGAAAGCGTAACCCAGCTCAGACACTGAATTCTGAGCACTGGGAACTTGATCTGGTGGGTGAGGCTGGAAGACCTCCCAATATCTGAAATGGGAGGCTGAGTAGGCTTTCAGCTGTCTATCATGGACATTTGTGGGGGTTAGCTCTGGAGTAATTATGGTTAAAGGCTAAGGTTGTCTCTCATGGAGAACATGTGAATGAGGGTTTCCCCCCCATTTATTTTACAATAGTTGTAGTTCATACCTTTGCGTAAGATAGTGGCTCACGACAACAACAGAAATAATCACATGTGTAACAATAAAAACATTGAATGTGAAAAGATGAAGGTGGATAAGATTCTTATGAAAGGGCCTGCTGAAATTTAATTTTTTAAAAAAGCCTTTAGTTGGTGTTGGAAGGCCATTGTGAGGGTACCAAACATAACTTCCTTCTCTGAGTAAGTACAGAGTGCTGATTGGCCCCCTCTACAGCTCATCTCCCAGAGTGTGAGTGAAATGAGCAAAATGTTTGCAGTCTAGGGAAGGCTTTGCTCCCCGACACCTTTTCTTTTGAGAAATCAGTCATCGTAAATACGTTCAGAGATATCTGTGGGGACATAAGTAGATGTTTTGACTGTGAAGTGGATACTAGCATGTCTGTGTTTTCCCATTCATAAAAGAAAAGCTAAAATAAAAGGAAAACCAGATTTCCTTTTACAAAAGCAGCGAAAAGCACCTTAAAGACTGACAGATTTATTGTGGCATCAGTTTTCATGGACTAGAGCCCATTTTATCAGATGCATCTGTTGTTGTTTGCGTTGCAACAGACTAACAGTGCAATCCTAAATAGAGTTTACACCCTTCGCCACCCGTTGACTTCAGTGGATTGAGAAGGGTGTAGCTCTGTTTAGGATCGCAGTGTAACATCTCTCCAGAGCTAACTCTCTCTTTTTTTCTTCTAAGAGTAAGATTCTAGATCTTATGACTGCTGGAAAGGAAGACTGATTTCAAAATGTCATGCATCTCTGTGTACAGGGCAGCTGCCACTGCAGCTTTCTCTCTGCCTGGTCTTTGCCGCTATCCTCCCGACTTGTAAAATATATAACTGTGCAGAAGTTCATGTGATCTGGTGCATCATCCGGGTTTAGCTCCAGCGTCTGTTTCCAGTGCCAGCGTTCAAGGTCAAAGTGGCTCTAGGCGTGTGCAGAGTGCATCCCGTTCACCACTGATGAACACTTGCAACATCCAGTTGGCAAACACATTCGAAGTGAGAGATCATAGTCTGGAGCCTATGGGATTTCAGTTGCCTTGAGCCCTAGCCCCTAGCCCCACAGAGCTTGGTCATCTGCCCTTTTTGACGGTGCCAAGCCAACAGTGGGCTCTGTGGTTGCTTTCACCTCCCGGGGGCTGGAGTCACAGGGGAGGGGTCCCTGCCATGGTCACTTTAAGTCTTTTGATACTTGAGTGTGGGGGCAGCTGGGGCTGTTTTTCAGGACACTGAGAGGGGTGAGATAAAGGCAGGGCTTCCCTTGGTGCCTCCCAGGACCCAGCAGTCCAAACGCACTTTCGTTTGTGACTTGAACCCCTGAAGCTGCCTTCAGGCCATTGGTCTCTCGAGGTCCTTGTTGTCTACCCTGACTGAGCAGCAAGTCACCTGCTATCCAATCCTTTGGCCTCATGATTGATCCCGCCTGGGACCTTTTGCAGGCAAAGCAAGGGCTCTTTCCCACTGAGCAATGCCCCCACCCCATCTCAAAGCTTGCCAAATTGTTGCAAATTTCCAAGGATGGGGAGGAAAATCCAGTTTCTGGAGCCCCTTGTGATCCTGGCGGGTGGCACTTGATGGGTCACATGCTGGATCTGTTACACAGAGAGATCTTTTGTCTTAGGATATGCAGGGTTTTAAAAGTCTCGTTACGGTGGCTTAGAGACAGCTGCAAATCTTAGTGCTCCCAGTTTAAATCTCACATCTGTCCTGAAGGGCTGAGGAGGGGGCAGGGAAGCTGCTCCTTTCTCTAAGCCTCACCTGTCCCAACTTTAGAGGGTGCTTGACAGGCAAGCCCATCAGAAAAGGAGTTCTTTATTTTGAAATAGCTACAGCTCACCTTTCTGTAAAAGATGTCCAAAGTGGCTGACATTGTGTTGGAGCCTGCACATTTGTTCTACTTATAGGGGTATTTATCCTGGTGCAAGGAGCCTTCCCCTCTCATTAGAGGCTCTCGCAATAGTACAAGACTCCCTGCTCCACGGTAGAGCACCCCCATTAGCAGAATAGATCCATAGGATCTAATCCAATATTATTAAATATCCACATTTATGCTACTGTACAAACTAAAATGCTAATTGCATCATTGAAGGAAAAGAAGAAGAGATTGGACTTACACCCCTCCCTTCACTACTAGAGGGAGTCTCAGAGCAGCTTACAATCTCCTTTCCCTTCCCCTCCTCACAACAGACACCCTGGGAGGTAGGTGGGGCTGAGAGAGCTTTCTCGAGAACTGCCCTTGAGAGAACAGCTCTGAGAGAACTTGTGACTGACCCAAGGTCACACCAGCAGCTGCATGTGGAGGTGTGGGGATTCAAACCTGGTTCTCCCAGATCAGAGTCCCCACTCCTAACCACTACACCAAACTGGTGCACATAATTTTGAAATCAGTCTTTCCTTCCAGCAATCATAAGATCTAGAATACACCAAACTGGATTCTGTTTTGAAATATTCTGGATATCAGTTCCAGCAATAAAGAAGTAAAGTCCATATTTGTTAGATTCTAGTTCAGTAGCACCTTAGAGACCAACGAGCTTTCTGGGTATAAGCTTCTATGAGTCAAAGCTCCCTTTGTGTTAGATACAAGAAGGAATGGAGATAAAGTTTTGGGTTCATTCACTTGTTTATCTTCCAAAGTTATATATGCCATCAAGTGTCAACAATGTCTTTCCACGTTTTACATTGGACATATAGGTCATTCCCTATGCAAAAGAATAAATGGGCATAAGTCTGACTCGGAAAAAAAGACTCAAAAACCTGTGGGAGAATATTTTAATCTTCCAGGGCATTTCATTGCTGACAAAACAGTAGCAGTCCTCAAGCAGAAAAGCTTCAGGGGGAGAATGCAAAGTGAGGTTGCTGAACCTGGGTTCATTCACAAATTTAGAACATGGTCCTCTCAGGGCTGAACTGGGTCATAGGATTCTTATCTCACTACTGATGCTAATTTTCTGTCCCCTCACATTTCCCCCGTGCTCTAATCAAGGTGATTACAATATGCATTGTACCTTTGCATCCTAAGAGTCCCTCTTGGCCACTGGTGGGGGAAGGGGGGTAGGGTTGCCAGATCCAGGTTGGGGAACTCCTGGAGATTTGGGGATGAACCTTAAGGAGGACAGGGACCTCAGTGGGGTACAATGCCATAGCGTCCACCCTCTGAAGCAGCCATTTTCTCCAGGGGAACTGACCTCTGTAGTCTGGAAATGAGCTGTAATTCTGGAGGGTCCTCAGGTCCCACCTGGAGACTGGCATTCCTATTGCATTCTGACTCCTTTCTTTGTGACATCCCTCCTACATTTTGACCGGGATCGAAGGACTCCGGGATCTTCATTCCTACGTGTATCTGACAAAAGGAGTTTTGACTCCTTAATGCTGATATCCCGAAAATCGTGTTGGTCTCTAAGGTGCTGCTGGACTTGAATCTAGCTCGTCTACTACCCTCCGAAACTATGTCAATATTTTTTGGAAATAAACTAAAGCGTTCCCATATTTTTTAAAAAAACTTTATTTAAAATATTTGTATGCCTGCCTTCTCCTGAGCATCTCAGGACAACTTTGCAGTGTCCAAAATCTTATTGTACCATTCTTGAGCTTTAGATACATCTGGATTTTTCCAGTACTTCACCCAAATTACTTTAGCAGTCTCTAATGTGTGTGTTATTAAGAACTTGATCTTACGTTGGAAATCCTCGTTAGATATAGTACGGCGGGATATGGCTACTGTAACAGCAACAACTTAGGATAGACAATCAATTGGAAGCGCCAGTATGAATCAGAATGTTTATTTGACTTTAAATGTCACTTTTCTCTCCAGAGGGGACCCAGGCTGACCTACGGCATTTCCCCCTTCTCCATTTTATCCTCAGAACAACCTTGTGATGGTAGGTTAGGCTTATTAGCGTGTGTAACGGGCCCCAGGTCACTCAGCAGCAAGCTTCCATGACAAAATGAGGATTTGAACCATTTCCCATAACCTAATGCAATATTCTAACCACTACATATGGTTGACAGTTGGGAAATACCTGGAGGTTTGGGGTGGAACCTGAGGAGGGCGGGATTTGGGGAGGGGAGGGACTTCAACGGGATATAATGCCACAGAGTCCACCAAAGCGGCCATTTTCTCCTGGTGAACTGACCTCTGTAGCCTGGAGATCAGCTGAAATTTCAGGAAATCAGCTACCACCTGTAGGTTGGTAACACAGCCACTTCACCATGCTGGCACTTATACAGGCTACCATTACCTGCAATCTGATCAGATGACTCCTGGCTCTCAGTGGTAGCAGTAATCTTTTGATTTAAACAAAGACCAGTCGGAACAAAAGTTTTTTCCTGCCATCAAAAAAACAACAACAAGCAATTTAGTTTATAGGCTGCCTTTTGTTCAAATTCAAGGTGGTGCCCATAGGGTTCCTAGGACATCTTCCATCCAGGCCCTCACCACACCCAGAT